AATGGAGGCTGCATAGATGGGGTATTGACTACTGGGACTCAGAAGGCATAATCCAGGCTTGGCTCTGCTGCTAACTAGCCATGTGACTTTGGAGAGTTGCTTAAATTCTCAGTTTCCTCATCTGTAAAATGAGGAGGTTGGACCAGATGTTCTCTAAAGTCCCGTCTAGCTCCAAAAATTCTAGGCTTGTCTATTCAGATAAATGTGAAAGTCTCGATAGATAAATATTTGATTGTGGCCATAAATTGTGGCTCACAATAATAGATGGTTGTAAGGCTGGGTAATGAGGGGATTTGAAAGCTGAGTATGAATGGTACTAGGTGTGTGAGAGTGCTCTGCATTGCAAGAAGTCTTATGTAAACATCAGCTCGGAGAGAGATTTGTTTATGCAATATAAGTAGGGAGAAATATCCTTGTTTCTCTCCAAGATTAAAAAAGGAAAGTATCTCATTTTGTGTAAGGACATGAATAATAAATGAAAAAGGGTAGCCTAGATGTCTTCGTGCGGGATGGTTGGGGAATTCTGTTGGAAAACTAACCTTGCAATGTCAACTTACAAGACACACTAAGTTTTCTCCTTGAATTATTTCCACCACTACTTCCCCCAAAACTTGGTGCAATAGAGAGTTGGATTTAGACTCAGATGACCTGAGTTTAAATCCTATCGCTGCTGTGGCCTTGGAGAAGCCACTTTAGCCTCAGTTTCCCAATCTATAAAAGTAAATGGTTGAAATAGATAGCCTTTAAGGTCCTTCTAGCTCTAAATTAGGATCTTCCCAAGATTATTCTCACAGCAAATCCAATCATAATTATCCTTTCTACATCATGACTTTCCCCATAGTGGTTTCGATATATTGTGGATTGCCATGAGAAATTAAGTAGGAATTTTTTGAGAGTTTTGTGGAAGCTGCAGATGATACGCAAAAGCCGGCAGACAGCACAGAAAAAGTTTGGAAACTCAGAAATGCATAAAATGTATGTATGGTATTGTATAATATCAACATATTTTATCTTTTAATACCACATAATTCAGACTTCTTGTCTGGTATAACGAGAAGGCAAAAAAATTTTATGTGGATTTTCCAGATCGTGGGGGCGCTATGCCCCTAACCCATGCAATAAGGAAGGGATAACTGTAGTGGCCTTTTATGCATGTTAGGACCCCCAGCATTCTGAATGCTACTCTGTTTTGTGAATGATTTTCAGTGTAACAACCCTAGGCTGCAGACTCCACAAGAACACAAGGACCATGTCTATCTAAACTTTACATCACTCCCTATGCCTGGCACAAAACTCAACACACAGCAGGTATTCCCTGATTGTTTGTGGAAGGGATGAATGACTCCATGGAGATGAGATTTCTGATGTTATTGGTTAACTAGTTAATATCTGCCTTCACCAAGAATCTTCAGGGCATCTGTGGTAACTTCCTTTTGAATTCTTAGAGGCCAGTAACACTACTCATCTTCAGCCCAGCCTTTGTACCCTTATATACTCTGCAGAAATAGCATAGTTGTACAATGTGCATTTTTACTTCCCAAAGACTATTAGAAATCAATTTGTTTCTATTTCTATGCATTTATGCTTCTAGAGTACAGGCTATATCATTAATGCCTGATTCTTGTTTGGATGGTAGTTGTTAGTGGGACATTTTAAGTGCTGAACATGAGTTGTTTATTTTAGGCTTTCTCATCTATTCTAATAACTGGGCTTTTCAGAAACCAACAGGAAGGTCTGGGGCTCTGATGAATACAAATAATGTACCAGTTATCTTCTGTCAATGCAGTCACCCTGTTGGTATATGTTAACTTCAAAAATAGGAAGCAGATATTTACATTTTCTTAAAAAAAAACCCAAACAAAACCCCACAATCCAGCTTATAGAAATAAGTTTTTGGCAAGCTATAGAAGCATGATTCTTTTTATAGGCAGATGTGTTCAGATCCAGAAAGGGGAGTTCTTGGTTTTTATGCTTGAGTAGGAGAAGTCATAGGAGAAGTGTCCAGAGAATGGTTTCCATTTATATTTCTTTTGAAACATAATTAGAATGACTAGTCTATCTTTCAGGTTATAACATTTGCTAGTAAACAACTCCTATGTTTCTTCTGGAACAGTTGATAGGAGTAATTAAAATATATGAGCCAGTGTTTTCTGGAATGAAATGTTTGAGCATTTCCATCTAACTCATATCCCATCTCTGTCTCCTTCCCCCTTCCTACCTAAACTTCTTGAAAAAAAGTTGTCCGAGTTCAATTTTTTTTTATTATCCAATCTCTTCTCAATCCAATTGCATGCAATCTTCTGCTCCCATTACTCTACTGAAACTGACTTCTCTAAGTTCACAATTGACCATCTCAGTTGCGAAATCTAAAGACCCTTTAGGGGACAGCTAGGTAGCTCAGTGGGTAGAGCTCTGGGCCTGGAATCAGGAAGACCTGAGTTCAGATCTGGTCTGAGACACTTAGTAGCTGTGTGACCCTAGGCAAGTCACTTAACCTCTATTTGCCTTAACCCACCAAAGAAGGAAATGACAAACCTGAATCTTTGTCAAGAAAACCCCCAGGACAGCATGGTCCACAGGGTCATGAAGAATTGGACATGACTGGACAACAACAAAGGCCTTTTAACATCTTTTACCCCTTCTTAGATCGTAGAATTATAAGAGACCTCAAAGGTTATATTTTTAAACCTCTTTATTTTGCAGTTGAGGAAACTGAGGCCTAGGGAGTTTAAATAACTTACCTAAGGTTACATAGGTAGTAAGCTTCAGATACAGGATTTAGGCCTCTGACTCAGTGTTCTTTCCACAATGCACTGCCTCCTCCAGCCCTTGACTTTTCTGAAGCTTTAGATACTTGAAATCCCCCTTGTGTCCCACTCATGCCCATACTTTCTCCTGTCTTGGCTTCTTCTGCTTCTCCTCTCCTGTGTCCTTATCATTCCCAAACCCTTAGCAGAGCTGTTTTTCAAGGGTCTATCTTTGGTCGTCTTCTCTCACAACAATCTTTCTCTTGGCAGTCTCATTCACTCACGTGGCTTCCATTGCCACATCTGTGCAGATGATTTCTAAACCTGTCTAGCCAGGCCTGATCTCTTTTCTGAACTGCGGTCTCATATCTCCAGGTGCCCATAGGACATCTCCATCTGGATGTCACACTGGCTCTTCAAACTCAACATGACCCAAACTAAACTATTAGCTTCCCTCCTAAACCTGGGAATGAGAAGGCAAGGAAAGGCCTGCACAAATTTGCTCTAGATCTGAGACTTAGGCCAGAAAGCTAGGAGCCAGATGAAATCTTCAGCTTTTGAAGAAAGAAAAAGAGAAAAGAATGGTAATTGGAGGGATGACGAAAGACTTTGAGATTGAGTTTGCTGAGAACTGTGATTGAGGGAATTGGGGGGAAGAGAGGACCTGTCTAACCCTAACCCCAGCCTCTGGATGTCCTGAGATTTAGTGCCCCTCATATTGTTTTCACAGACCTCTGTTACCTGGTCTTGCTTCCATCTTCTGAACAATTCCTTTTAAAATTAGAGTTGGCTGAGGGGATTTCTGTGGATCAACATCACTTTTTTCAGATAGATCCTATTTTTCTTCTTCATTGACCTGATTTTCCTTTGGTGACTCCAGAATTTCTCCTCTTTCTCTCAGGTTGATCCCCCTGCAGCGCTTAGCTTATAGGATCCCACCTATCTGTCCTCTGAACCCTTGAGGATCTGCTCTTCCAAAGGCTAGGGTGCACGTCAGCCTCTGTCCAGATTTCCTGTCTTTATAACAAGGTGTGGCAGGAGCTGGTTGCCCTCTGCTGGAGTTTCTATTTCTGCCCCCACACCTTCTTCTCTGTTAGTAAGACCCAGGAAAGAATTTCCTCTTATTGGTCATTAGCTACTCTATTTTTGGTAGAGAGGGAGAGTTACAGCAGCTGTCCAGATAATTTGAACCCCCCCCCCCACCCCATCATCATTACATCATGTCCTCGTGCTTTCCCCAAACACCTTATCTAATTCCTCTTTCTGGCCAGGTGATCCACAGTATACTTCATGACAAAATCACTTCTCTTTCACCTTCCATTGACCTTCATCCAAATACTTTTTGTCATACTTTCTCTCCTTCCCTTTGGCTCCTGGATGTCCTCATGACTTCTTACTACAATGCAACCCTATCTATCCTTTTTCTTTTGAATCAGACAAACCCACCCAGAACCAAGGTGCAGTCATGGATTTCATACCACCAAATCTGGTGACATCTACAAGGTCAAATCCTTCCCTTCCTATTTTTTTTTAAAACTTCTATTTTGTTTTATCTTCAGTTGCAAATTCTCTCCCTCCCAGTTCCCCCTCCCTCACCCATTGAGAAAGCAAGAAAAGCAAAATCTACCTAATTACTTTATATGTAACTCCCTTGTATTTATTCTCTTTATATTTATTCTGTATGTACTCATAGATGTACATGCTGTCTCTAAATTCCTTTAGAATATAAATTCCCGGAGAGTGAGGATTGTTTCATCCTTTATATATGTGTCCCTCGTGCCTAGTGCAGTTCTGGCTTTTAGTAGGCATTTAATAAATGCTTATTGATTGATTCTAATTGTCAGCTGGATATGCAAGTCTCTAATTGTCTTTCGTAGATAAGTCTTTGACAGAATTTCTGAGATTGTCTATATTCACCAGACAAATACTACTAGATTAATGAAGTCTTTTATGGAGAATTAGCTTTTGGCTTTTGTTTTGGAAAGTGATCTCAATTCTTTCTGCTGTATACTAATTACTAGTGCCGTAGTAAAAAAGAGACTTTGAGATAAAAGTTTGCGATTAATTAGGGAAACTCCCAAGTGTTCATTCTGGAAGCTGATGGGGAACTGTGTCTTAATTGTTAGAGCTCCTTAGTTAAGTTCAGAATTCCTGAGAATGAAGTCTGCCGCAGCTCTCCTTGGGGCCATTGGCCCAGTAGTGTCCTGTCTGCTTCAGTTTCTCTTATCTGTAAAATCAATGTTGTCTTTCCAGCTGGTGCTTTGCAGCCTTCAGGTGTTCCACAGAAGTGCATGAAATACAAGGGTGTTTGTCAAGATTAACCTTTCTAAAGAGGGCTGCACTCCTGAATGCCAGCTGAGAATCATTTTGGATCTTCTTCTGCGTGCTGATTGCTTTGAGCAAAAAGAACCAAGTATGTTAATAATGGACTCTAAATGAATGTGTTTACACAATATTTAGTGAGTGGAAGCTCCTAATTTTCTTTTCAGCATTACTTCACTAGTTTCTTAAATAGCTTTTCATTTCTGTTTATTTTTTTCCCCAGACTGCTGGCTTGATAGTCTTTTCAAACAGTCCATCAGAACTCAGAAACTCAGACAAGCTTCTTTGGAGAAAGTTCCCATTGGAAATTTCCATAGGAAAGCTTTTACAGACCTGGTAAGTGGTCTTGTATTTTTAAGACATTAATAATTTTTCTGATTTGGTACCTCCCCAGGTGGCAGAGGGAAGGATTGATGAAAGAAAAAGCTATACACCTCACCTGCCAGGGAAAATAGTATTAAGGAATGACAAACGAGTAAAACAGGGCTCAAAGTGCTAGTCAATGATAATTTATGGCATGCCCTCCCACTGATCTGGAGAAGTTATGGTTTTCCATATGAAGAAAATCAGGGTTATTCCCTTTGAATGATTTGAAATAATAATAAGTAAAGATAGAGTTGGTTGTTTTTAAAAATCTCATTCATTTGACACTTTCTCTGTTATTCAAGTCTTCTGCAAATCTGCAATACAATGACAATTGATGGTCAGGATGATAATAGGTACTATAACATCCTGAAGTGTCTGTCTTCAACTAAGCAAACATTCAATTCAATTAAAAAAAAACATAACAGGAGGTAACTACTGTAGTGGAAAGAGTGTTGTATTTGGAGCTTGAGCACCTGGGTTCAAATCCTGGCTCTTTCACTTAGGACTTGTGAGTCAAGTCAACAAACATTTATCAAATGCTTACTATGTGCCAGGCATTGTGCTAAGCACTGGGAGTACAAATAAAGGCCAAAACAATCCCTTTCTTCAAGGAGCTCACATTCTAATGGAGGAGACAACATATATGGATGGATGGGTGGATGGATAGACGAATAGAATAGATGAGAGATAGTTTCAGAAGGGAAGGCCTTAGTAGTTGGGAGTTCTGGGAAAGGCCTCCTGTAGAAGGTTGACCTTGAGCTTAATCCTGAAGGAAGGCAAGGAAACTGAGTCAGAGTTGAGGGGGCTGTGCATTCCAGGGAAGTACAGTATAGACCGTCAGTAGGAAGGTGCAGATGGGAGTTGGAGAAACATGTTTTAGAACAGCAAGTAAGCTACTGAAGTTGGATCAGAGAGGGTGTGGAGGGGAGTTAAGGTATAAGAAATCTGGAGAAGTAAGAAGGGACCAAGTTAAGGAGAACTTTAAATGTTAAAAGGAAGACTTCATATTTGGTTCAGGAGATATTGGGGAGCCATTGCAGGCCCTTGAACAGGGTACCTCCCCTATGTGTCAGACATACATTTTAGAAAATTGCTTTGGCAGTGGCAGCTGAGTGGACGGTGGACTGAAATAAAGAGATAGTTGAGAGAGGCAGAGAGACCAGTTAGAAGGCTGTTGTGATAGTCTAAGCCAGAGATATCCCAGGACAAGTTACCTATCTGTCCTGGGCTTCAGTCCCCTCATCTAAAACACAAGGAGGTGGATTCGATGGCCTCCATGTTTCCTTTTGGCTCAGTCTATAATCCTTTTTGTTAAGTACTTACCACATGCTAGTTCTGGGATGAGAAATAATAATCCTTGCCTTCAAGGGGCTTATATTCTAATAGCAGGGATGTGATAAGAACAGGAATAAGAACAAGGTAGAGGGTGATAGAGGGAAAAATGAGATCCAGACAAAGTACTCTGGGAAAACTGAAGAAGGGATCACTTTCTGCAGACATTTCCCCCTGGATGTCCCATTAACTCAAACTCAACATGTCCAAAACAGAATTCATTCTCTTTTCTCCTAAACACACTCCCTCTTCCCAACATCTCCAGTTACCCAGTTTCCCATACTCACTTATGCCTAATTCTATATTCTTATTTATTTATTTTTTTTGCTTTTTGGTGAGGCAATCAGGGTTAAGTGACTTATAGTAAGTGTCAAATGTCTGAGCTCGGATTTGAACTCAGGTTCTCCTGACTCCAAGGTCGGAGCTCTATCCACTGCGCCACCTAGCTGCCCCTAGTTATGTCTAATTCTTCCCTTTCCCTCGTCCCTTTTCCATAACAAATTGGTTGCCATGTCTGTTCTGTTTCCATAAAATCTCTTCCACTCACATGACCACTCAAATTCAGGCTCTTGCCTCCTGTCCATACTGTTGCAAGAGACTCCTTATTAGTCACCCTCCCTTCAGTCTCTCTTTGATCTATCCTCCTCCTAGCAGCAAAATTAATATTTCTAGAGCATACATCTGAAATGTCACTCCCAGCTTAATAAACTTTGGTAAGGAGTTCTCTATCATCTGGATAAAGATCCAAACTCCTCAGCTGGCAGATAAAATCATTCACATTCCGGTTCCAATCAATTTCCCATTACTCCCCCCGTAATGCCCTATATTCCAACCAAACTGACCTACTTTCTAGTTCCAATCCATGACATTCCATCCCATGCTTCCATGATTTTGTGCAGGTCTCCCCCATGCCTATGATGCTCTCCCTTCTCACCTCTGCCTATTGGCATCTTTAGCTGCCTTCCAGGCTCAGGTCAGACAGTACATCCTGCTCAAGGTCTTTCCTAACCTTCCCCCTTGTTATCGTTTTCCCGCCAGCTGCCTTTTGTGCGTTTTGTTGGACCTGTGATTTGATCCAGGTAGGAAGCTCCCACTGAGGATCTTCACGGACAGGGAATCAGAATCACTTTTCCTGTAGCTTACAGAGTTGCCTGAGGCACGAAGAGGTTAAATTGCTGTCCCAGGTCACGTTGTAAGAATTCAGCAAAAGAAGGCCTTGAACTCAGGTCTTCCTGACTCACAGGCACTGGCTTCTCCATACATCTCTGCCCCAGGCTACCTCTGCCTCTGCTTTGGGTTTACTTTGAATAGTTTTTGTACATATTATCCCCCAGGATTGACTGGAGCCTGATCGAGGTCAAGGACTGCTTTTATTTTGGAGCTTGCGTCCCCAGCATCTAGGACAATGTCTGGCATATAGCAGGCATTTTGTAAAATGAATTTAACTGGAGGAAGTTTTCACAGAAGTACCATCTGAGCTAAATTTTGAGGGAAAAAAAGAATTTCAACCAGAAAAAGTAGGTTGAGTAGGGTATTTTTGTGTTAAGTATTTTTTGAAAATTTCCATTTTTCGAAAACTAGTGATCCCTATGATAACTCTCTATGAATGGAATACTTGATTAGCCAGTTTCCCCGATTCACCTACCCTGTCCCATGAGAGTCCATTGTCTGAGTTGGCTATTTTGGCGAACTAAAATGTTTCAGGAAAGAACCTTTACAAAGGTTCTTTACTTGCTATCCCTATCGATTATTTGATTGAAAGCCTATCTGGTACCAGCTGCTTCCTTTTGGAGTTGCTCCACCATCCCCACGATGCTGGCAGGATGCACAGAGTGGAAGGGCCGGTTTGTTGAGCTCTTGCAGACAGAGGGAGGAAAACCAGCAGGAGGGCTGCATTGCCAAATGGGGCCTTTGGGACCATAGAGATCCTTGGGAAGGCACTAAGGCCTAGTGAGTGAGGGTCTAAAGTGAAACGCTTTTGCTGTTGATTCCACATCATGCCCGTGTGATGGCCATGGGCTACTGCCACCTTTGGAACCCGTGTCTGCCTGCTGGGTTTGCATCTCAGAGGCACGTCTCCTGCCTCTGCACTAGGAGAACAAAGCCCCGTGCGTGCTCCTTTTAAAATTAGTTTTTAAGGGAAGTTTGATTCATTTCATTAATTCCACCTGGAACAAAAAAGGGAAAAAAAACAAACACTGATTTTCAGGGATATGAATTTTTTTTTTTTTTTTTTTGCCTCAGAGGACTTTGTTATTCAGGAGCGTTTGCCGAGTGCTCTATTTCATGGGCTTTAATGAAAGTCTGGGACCCATTTTTCTTCTAGATCAGTTTGTGGGGGCCATATTTCTTTCATATAAAATTTGGAATCTCAGGCTTTGGATGTTATCTTGACAGAAGCAGATAAGCCTGCAAAGGAAGGCATGGAGGGTCTTTTGGAGTAGGAAGCCCTAATAATTATAGATGGATGAATTTTGTGCAGCATGTTTTGGGGCATGCCATCACCTCTTACTTAGGGGGAAATTAAAGTGAACTTCACCAAACAAACCCCACTTTGGAAAAGGAAAGCAATGAGTAACCTTGTCTGCTGTAAGATTGCTGTTTCTGCTTACTGAGGCCTCTTATTTGTCCAATGTTTATACCCACAGCCAAAATGGAATCAACACTTAGCTGCCAGTGATTAAAACTTGAGGAAAGTACAGGAGGGCAAATGTTCCTGTCTGGAAGTTGCTGGGGAAATAGTAGGAATAGCTTTACAACAGGCTACATAAGAATTATTTCTACCTTTAGGGTTTAACTTTAATATTTATCTATTGAGTGTTAAAGATGATCAGGCTGGTTTTTTAAAAAAATTTTTTTTTTAGGCAATTGGGGTTAAGTGACTTGCCCAGGGTCACACAGCTAGTAAGTGTCAAGTGTTTGGTCTGAGGCTGGATTTGAACTTAGGTCCTCCTGACTTCAAGGCCAGTGCTATATCCACTATGCCACCTAGCTGCCTCCTCTTTTTTTTTTTTTTGGCGAGACAATTAGGGTTAAGTGTCTTGCCCAGAGTCACACAGCTAGTAAGTGTTATGTGTCTGAGGCTGGATTTGAACTCAGGTCCTCCTTACTCCAGGGCCGGTGCTCTATCCACTAGCTGCCCCTGAAGTAATTTTTTTGAGGCTGCACTAGACTAGAAGCTGGCGGTGAGGCTGGGGCTGGGAGATAGGATCAGGAAAGGCCTAACAGAGAAGATGGCACTTTACAGACTGTAACCTCACTGGAGGAAGTTCTTCCAACTAAATTAACAAATTAAAAAAAAATCTGATGGTGTCAGATATAACCTTTGTTATTTCTACTCTGTTTTAGTTTGGTTTCCACAAGGAATTCCATCATGAAGGTCAAGCTCTTTCCCTCTGCATCTTCTTGTTGTCACACTTTGTTCTCGAGTTCCTGATTCTAGGTGACTTAAACTCACTAGTTCCTGAATAATTGTCATCACCTCCCTCTCTCAAGTGTTGTGCTTGGGGGTGGGGGATGGAGCCAAGATGGCGGAGTAAAAGCAGTGACTTGCTTGAGCTCTCCCCCAAACCAGCTCACACAGGTTGGAGAGATGGGTTGTTGGATTTTCAGTGTGAGCATTTACACTTTGGAAATCAGGAAATGCTACAAAATTAGGGTTTAGATTTATTGTTTTGTCGATTGTCTAGATCAGAGAGGTCAAATTCATGGTCTTCTGGCCCCAAGCAGCCCTCAAAACTTCCCAGTGGAACCAGAACAAGATTAAACTGTAGTTGGGAAAAATCTAATAAAATAAATAAAAATATAATAAAATATATTTAATGTTAATTTGTGGTTTTCTAAGTCAGTATGCAGCCTGCAGGGATCCATTTCTATTGAGTTGATACCACTGGCCTAGACTTAAGAAAGGGTTGAAGAAAATGATAACAATGGATATTAAACTTAAAAGTGTATTGTGAAAACATTTTTTCTTGGAGAGCTGGTTGTTAAACATTTAGCAGCACACCCCTGTTCTTACTGCTCTTTCTAATGTCCTTTAATAAATGTTTGATCGGCAGCTTTGTCCTTTTAACAGACTCCTTGGGAACTTCAAAAGAAGCGTATTTCCTTTTTTCCTTTCAGTAAACATCTTCTTTACCCCTTCTCTTACCTCGTCTATAGGTTGCCAGGAAAAGACTCTTGACCCAATAGAGACTTCCAACCTTCTCCCCTCTCCTGACTCTTTTGTTCTTCCCTCTTCTATCTATCTAGGGGTAGGGGCAAGACACAGAAACGATAGGAATGGGGTGGGAGAGTGATTAATGTGAGCATTGCTTTGGTAAGCTTCTGTCTTTCCCGATCTTTGTGCCAGCCTGGTAGCCTGGCTGCAGGATGGGGGCTGGAGAGGAGCCCTGAGCCCAAGTGAATCTTGACCTCTAAAAGATTTGGAACCAGGCTTTTTTCATTCTTCTACCTCATTATGCACCCCCCCCCCCACTTCAGAGCAGAACTCTGGATAAAATGTCTAAACAAAGTTTAGGGATGGTTCATTTCTAGGTTCTCTTCTAAAAGGGGTCAATAGAGTCTTCTGGAAAGTTACTCAGTATACAAAATAGTAGACATCAGGTATAGGACAGCTATTTTTTTCTTCCACCACAAAAGAAATACTTAAAATATAAAATACATAAAGTGTATGTTGACAAAATACTCAGAACATGAAATAGTAATCCCATCATTCATATTATACTTTTCCAGAAGCTTATAGTCTTGATGAAGAGATATTTTACTTTCTCTACTGCCCTGTTCTGTTTGCATAGCTCACAATTCCAAATCTCTTGTTGAAATGTACCCAGGTTTAAGCTTTTTTAGTCCTTTCACATGTAGTATCCTCCTGGGAGTTATCATCTTTTTCTTCAAAAAGTTGTTGCAAACCACCCTCAGAGAAACAGAGGACAAACAAGTATAGTATGGTCTTACATAGATGCATATGAATGTATAGTTTATATATGAGTATGATTATAGATATTTAAGTATATGTGTATAGGTGTATATGTATACATATGTGTATATGTATGGGTATATATATGTATGTGTATATATCTGTGTGTGTATGTATATATGTATATAGATATGTATAGGAGTATATATATGTATATATATATATATGAATATATATGTATGTGTGTATATATATCCATGCTTAATTGTAGCCTTCTTGGGGGAGAAAGGGGGAAAAAGAACAAAGTAAAAAGTGCACAGCAGAGAACAAAAGAAAACTTACAAGGAGGCAAAGAATAGATGGACAGCTCTGAATACGATGTGTAGTATTCATTATATAGGCTTTCTTGAAATGGAAATTTATTGCTGTATATTTTGAATCTTCTCTTACGTTCCTCTGCACTCATGGCAATGCTTTTTTTTCTTTTCTTACTTTGTATTTAAGTTTTAGTATTTCAGTTTATGTTTCTTTTTCTTTTCTTATTATGTATTTAAGTTTATATGTTTGTTTTTATTTTCTTATTGTATATTTAAGTTTTAGTATGAAGTTTAAAATAAATTAATTAAAAAAAGATGTTGCTAAGATCACCTCTTGTTGGGCAACCAGCCCCCATACCCAGGAACTCCTGACCTCAATATTTCAGTACCACTGTTTGGTCGTTTGTATTCATGGAGGGAAAGACAAAGCAGAAGAAGCAACTAGGAGCCTAAAATCTAGTTTCAGTCTCACCTAGGCAAGAAAAACCCATTCTTGTTGCCATGTGCTAACAGTTACTATTGTTGGGGGGCAGAGGGGAGAGATACACCCTCTCCCCAGTAGTAGAAATTTAAGGGAGGATCCTAATATGGAGAACGGATAGCAAGAGTCACTCTTTGGGCATCCCCTCCTGGCTCAGTGGCCAATCCTCTTCGACACAGCCTCCCCAGCCTTCTCACCCCTTTTATGGTGACAAGGGAACCAAAGAGGCATTACTGTGTCATCCTAAAATCTAAGTCTTTCAGGAGGGCGGCCCCCACAGGCCCAGTCTGCCAGACCAGGGGTCCTTTGTGGGTCCCTGCTACGTTGGAAACTAAGACAGACCTAGGAGCAGCCCCTACAAGGAGCAAGAGAACCTAGAGGTGATGGAGTTCCAGTTCTAGTTTTGATCGGTGACTTTTAAAATCACATTTACAAGGTTATGTAAAAAAGAATCACGGTTTTCATAAAAAAGACAGGAGCATCCAAGGAGATGCCTTTTTAGAGCTTTTGTTAGTTGTGTTCAAAGACATACTTGTAATTTTTGCAGGGTTGTGGATTCATCACCTAAATAAAGCATTGGAAAGTTCTGCTTAAAAGTAGGGTGAGGAAAATAAGGATGAGTGAGGGCTGAGAGTGGGGTAATGGGATGAGCCCTGGATTTGGAGCCAGAGGTATTGTGTTCAAATCTCAGCTCTGCCATGCACTACTTATGTGGCTTTCTCTGAGTCTTGGTTGTCTCACACGTAATATGAGGGGATTAGAGCAGATGATCTCTACATTCCCTTATAGTTCTAAATCCTATGATCCCCAGTGTCCTGTTTTGGGTGAGGGAGAAGTCATTCTGTGACATTTCAGAAAAAACAATTTCTATGACATGTGTGCGTGGTTACTCCTCATCTTGTGTCGTATCAGGTGCAAACAGTGATTTATAGACTGTTTACAGTAATGCCATGTTGGTTAAATATATTTTAACTACCTGTGATTTCAGGGCAATTTGCCTAAATGGGGTGAGTGCTTAAACTAGTCCCAGGGTTTTGCAATATATTCAGTGGGTTTTTCCTTCCCTGGTCTGGGCAGTAGGAGTGGAAGCTCGTGATTTAGCAGGCAATGCTTTCCCTCCCTTCCTCCCCAGGCTTAGTTGTAGGTAGCTATTTAAGATTATTTAGTGGTAGTTATTTTCTTATGAAAATTAACCTGGTCCAAAAGTTCCTCTAGGAAAAAAGCTAAGGAATATTATAGCCTGAAATTGTTGTTTATATATGTGTATATAAGTTATTTCTTCAAAGATATTCATAGTGACAATTTGTTATGGCAAAAAACTAGTTACCTAAATGTCCATCAGTAGAATGGATAAACAAATTGTGGCACATTAATGTAATAGAATATTATAATGTAATTAAGATGGATGAGTATGAGGAATATAAGGAAATATGAAAGGGAAAACTATTAAATAATGCAGAGTGAAAAAAGTAGAGCCAGAACAGAATACACACTATGATTATTTAAAGGGAAAAAAATGGATGAGAATGAATAGACAAAGATCCTGCTGGCAATGGAGAAGGGGTAAAATAATACCATTATGACATTTAATGGGATGAATTTTATTTGATTGTAAACAGTTGCAAAGTAATATTAATTTATTATATTTCTGGTCAGTATCGTTTATAAGAAATCATTTTTTACAAACAGAAAATGTTAAGGGAGGGGAGGCTTGTTGTTGGATACAGTCTACCTTATGGCAGCAGTGCTCCCAAAGACTGTCCCCCCTACCCCAATTTCCATTCATCTTGAATGAATATGCAGAATACGCCTACTCTTCTTCTAACTTGGGTCTTCAAAATCAGCACTTTGAGTTTGGGGTTCTTTTAGGGTAGAAATTATTCAGAGCTCTCCACTGTTCTTCCCACTCAGTGCCTTGAATGTTCTGATATGACACAGAGAAGCTTTTATATTATATATTAAATTGCTTTCTCCGTGTCAAATTAGTTTGCTAAATTGCTTTCTTCATGTTGCTCCTCAATAGCATGGAACCCCTCCTCTTCTGCATCGATGCAGATATTCCCAGTAGCATTTTGCTGTCATGAAATATGACTTAAGGAAAGTATGATTGAATATACAGTCAGTAACCCTCTGATCTGCATGTTCCAGGTAATGTAAATGACATCGAAGGAACAGGCAGGACTGTAGCATTAGGGATGTGTTTAGCAACTAAATTTAGAGAAATGTGGGAAGGGGAATGATAGGGAATGACAAGGATGATGCTGCCTTTTGGTTTTAATAACAGCCAATATTTTTAGAGCACTTTATGGTTTGCCAACAGCTTCAGACATACCACCTCTTTTGATTCTCATACTAACCCGGGAAAGTAGGTACTAGGGACATTTTTACTCCCCCCCCCCCCCCCCCCCGATAGATGAGGAAAATGAGACTCCAAGAGGTATCCATTGTCAGACTGCTAGTGTTAGAAGTCCTGATTTAATTCAGTAGCAATTCTCTGTAACTGAAGGCTTTAAATCAAGAAATAAGCCCTATGCTAATGATTCCTTGTATCAAGGCAAGAATTATAGACTATTTAAAGTAAATGAGGTGGCTTGTCTATATTTGTAAAAGATATTTTAGACTCTTTTTACTTATTTATTTCTGATCCAAACTTGTGATTTCATCAGTGTAGGGGAACTCTGGCTGCTCAGGCAAGTAAGCAATCCCTCAGTAACTTAGGGTTAAAAAGTTCCAATAGACATTGAGATGTTAAATGACTCACTCACAGTCCCACAGCCAATACGATGGCTCAGAGGCAGGATTTGAACCCAGGTCTTCCTGGCCTCCCTAGGCAGCCCTCAACAAGCTAGGCCATATTGCCTTTCCATTACAGCTTGGTAAACTAGGGTAAACAGGTGAGCCTGTCTTTTTGTTTAGCAAAGCAATCTCAAGGTCACAATTTTTTTTTGCTCCAAATAGCAGACCACAGCCATACCTATGTGTTGTTTCAAGGGAATTCTTAATAATGATCACTTAAAAGAAGAGTTGAAAAAAAGATATCCCTAGGGGTGGGTTT